TCACCGTCTAAAGTTCATCGCAAGGTCACGATTGTCCGATAGTATTTCATTTTTCAATTTTTTTCCACAAATTGGACTGATCTGAAATTTGGACCATGTGTACATCTTAGTGAGGCGCACCTAATAAAAATATAAAAAATAATAATTCCTAAAAATAAATTAATCAAAATACCCCCGAAACTTTTTAGGGGTATTTTGGTCAATTTATTTCATGTAAAATGTTCTTTTGATATTTTTCCTTGATTTGCCAATTTTTAATGAATATACAGGAAAACATTTTCCAATGCTTGTAGGCGAAAATGAACAGTGATTTTGCCTACCCTCATCACCGTCCAAAGTTCATCACATGGTCACGATTGTACAATAGTTTTTTATTTTTCATTTTTTTTCTATAAATTGGAATAATCTGAAACTTGGAGCGTGTGTTCATCTTAGTGAGGCACACCTAATAAAAATATAAAAACCATAATTCATGAAAATAAAATTGATCAAAATAGTTCTGAAAAATTTTGGGGTATTTTGATCAATTTATTTAATGTAAAATATTTTTAATATTTTTCATAGATTCGCCTATTTTTTATAAACACACGCTACAAATTTTATATCATTCTTATTTTTAGAAAAAAAATGAAACCAAAACACTACCTGTACAATGAACTTTGGACGGTGATGAGGGTAGGCGAAACCACTGTTCATTTTCGCCTACCCTCAGCACTCGCCAAAGTTCATCGTACAGTCACAATTATCTAGTACTATTTTATTCTTCATTTTTTTCTATAAATCGGAAAGATCTGAAATTTGGAGTATGTGTACATCTTAGTGAGCCTCACCTAATAAAACTTTGAAAAAATAAATTGAACAAAATACTCCCATAAATTTTCAGGGTTATTTTTATCAATTTATATTTTATGAATTATTTTTTTTATGTGTTTATTAGATTCTCATATTTTTTATGAACACACGATCCAAATTTCAAATCATTCCGATTTGTAGAAAAATAAATGAAAAATTGAAACACTATCGGACAACTGTGACCATGCGATGAACTTTGGACGGTGATGAGCATAAACAAAATCACTATTTATTTTCGTATATAGGCATTCTGTAGTTCTTATATATATATATATATATATGGGAAATGACCTTGTGAGACCCTCCCGCACCCATGTGTGTAGGACCCCAAATGATCACCATTAAATTTGGCAAAGATCTCTAAAAAAGTCAAGACCCACACCCATGTGATAACTTTTTTAGAGATCAATGCCAAATTTAATAGTGATCGTTTAGGGTCCTACACACATGGG